GCTCGCAAAACGGAAGACGTAACATTGATAGTGCCTTGTCCCAAAGACTCCAATACAGACGGGGCATGATCAAAACCGCTGGATGGTAAATAGTCCGCATCAGGACCGATATCGCTTTCGGGCTCATCGTCATCATCACTGCTTGGACCAAACTGATGAGTGTGTTCTTCGGCTTCTTCATAGAGCCTGCTTCGGACTGGCCCAAGAACGCAGCCTGCTGGCTCCCGTCTGGACCCCCCGGTCGATACGATGCATCGTAAATTGTTCCCATGGTTTGATGGATAAAATTAGATGACCTTTTGGCAATTAATTTCTTAATTTATTCATAAATCAATTCTACTAAATAATGCGGTTACTGCTTATTGCATAAGAAATAGCTGCTAAGAAGGAAATCAATTGTGTGAGACAAGTAGCAATGTCTGGATAAAAGGTCCGTGAAAGAAAGACCCAGGAAGGTTTGTTACTACAGCGCTCGAGCCAACAGCAAAATATCTGTATACATAAACGTCAATATTTTTTCGTTAACGAGATCAACTAGTACCCTTCAGTAATACGTTTTTTGGTGATATCCATCTCTGCATGTAGAAGGATTTTGAAGCTTCTCCTTATAGACCAAACCAGCATACAAGAACAGAAAAAGAGCCTGCAAACTTATTCTATCTTCTACATAAGACAATATAATATCTTCAAGTTTTATTCATTATCTAGTTCAAAAATTGACGATCAATAAAAAGTGTATCACCATTTGTTTGTGTTTCTCAACTACTTTCATTGTCGCATTTTAAAAAGCATTCCTTGTCAACATTATCGTTATTAACCTTGCTAGCTCCTGATCGTTGTCACAGCCATGCATCAACTTGTAAGCCTCGATAAGCAACGCAACATATCTTTCCACTCGTTCATTTCAGATGAACCAATTGCCAAGTCTCATCGATAATGATGATTTTCAAGAACTCAAAAGGCTTCTTCTATCCGGACTGAGTTTCGAAAACTTATTCGAGAGTATTGATGAGGTTGGAGCTTTTATGGATTTGGTTTTTTCAACGCGACCCTCCCTCGCAGGCTGGAAACACAATTATTCATCTTTGTTCGGCGACGTGTCGATTGCGGTGTCTTGAAGTTATTCTTTCTACTCTCAGCGAGCAAGATTGTCTCAGAAAACTCGTCAATCACTCCAATAATTATGGAAGATCTCCGCTTCATCTAGCAGCGTTTTATGGTTGGGAGACAATTGTGGACAAATTGTTAGAAATTGATGGAATTCGCCTTGACGGTCAAACAAAGGTAAGAACTGATTTGCATTGATTTTTCATATGCCTGTTGCTATGATTAGGCTTCGTGCACTCCACTCTACTTTGCTTGCTGCCGTGGACATTTGTCCATTGTTGAGAGATTGTTATCTGGTGGTGCAAACCCCAATTCGCGAACGAATGTAAGAAACTGGGCGGTTTTCGAAGTTCTGTCTATTGCTTCAATGATGCATCAGCATTTGTTCTTTCTAGACATCAAGTACGCCTCTTATCGCCGCGACAGTTAACGGTGCCATACGGCTTGTTCAAACTCTCTTGTTGTCTGGAGCGGACGCAAATTTACAAAACAGCGATGGAATGACTGCAATGCATTTAGCAGCAGAAGCAAATAACAAAGAGATAATTGAAATTCTTATTTCTTCTGGTGGAAATTCGACAATCGAGGATAGTCGGGGAAGGACATTCAATGACATTTTGCTTGTGGTTCAGAAAAAGGAGAGTATTAGAACGTTTGAAGGGGTAAGCGAGATATGGGGAAACCTGATCATCTTGTCCACATTCATAAGAATCTTTTGTGCTTATTCCAGATGATGCCAATCAAACACCGTCATTTTCGTCCAAATGGTATCAAACCCTCTCACGGGCCGATAAGAGCCGGTGGTGGTAGAACATCCTCTGAGGCTGCATCTGAAAATTGTTTAAATACATCCAGCTCAACAACAAACCACACAACAAGTCCTTCTCGTCAAAGAACTGAATCGCGTTATGAGACATCGCCATCAAGTCCCAACAAGTAATCAAATCAGTGAAGATCCTTCAACAACGCAAAGCCCTAATGAATGTGAATCTCGTGATTCGAAGGACATCCACTCCTTGGTGACAGCCGTGTCAGTCCATCGAACGAGCCCACTTCCACCGTTCGTTCAGACTATTTCCGATCAATAGCTTGTTTCACAGCAAGCACGGTAGATAAAGTATACCGTATTAAAACAGTGCCACAGTTCTTTGTTCCATTCATTCTAGTTTTGCTATTCGGTTTTGCCAGCTTTAACTTTAATCAAACTATCTTCGTTATTATTCCAGGATAATTTGATCTCAATTTTAGACAGAATGCCAATAACTACGTTATTTTTGTCCCTTCATTCAACCGCTTCCAATTTGATAAGGATATTGTTATTATTGATCGCCATATATTAAAGTTAGAATGCTCGATTCGTTTTGCAACGCTTCATGTCTTCCATGCGGACATTTCTTACCTTAGGTGATGCGACCTTCTATCACTAATTCGCAATCGCTACTTTGATTGTTTTATATTCTCGCGTATCTGAACATCGTGCAAAATACACACACGTGATTTTTTTCTAGTTCAACAAAATGATTCTTACCATCGCCAGTGATTTGACTTACGTGCTATTTTCTCTGTAATCTAACTCAAACAAAGTTGAAGGGATCAAAATTTTGATGATTTTGACTGAACCATTCAGTACTCAAGGATACGCACAATTCACCTGTTCTAATTAGGTCTGCGTTGGCCCAGACCTGTTCGCCCTGCATGCCAAACGCACTCGTCTAAGTTCTCTCTTTCATTCGACGTTTTTTTCTTTCATTCTTAATTGCGTGCTCGTTCATAACACTCGTCGTTTTGTTGGAGAATTGTTTGACGTTCTTGGACATTCATAAACAATGACATCCAACGCGGAAATTCATGAGTACACCAAATCTCAAGATAGTGACGAATACTACTACGATCTTCCAAAATGCTATCGATACTTCTATCTCGCTGCTCTCACTGTGATGAGTTTCTTTACTGGACCCAGTAAGAAGCGGTTTCCGTTCACTGCGCATCTCGTTGTCTTCTTCAGTATTTCTTTACGCCATCACTCCATTGCTTGGGTGAGTTCACCCTGCAGTAGTTGTAATGCCAAATCTATTTTCAGGATGACTGATGCGTACTCGGGGTTGTGCACTCGCGGGCCCTTTTGCGCTGAAAAGATCCCCGCCCTTACAAGTCTTTCACAAAAATGTCTAGCAACCAACGCCTCATTCGCTCTCGTAGGAGGAGTCCTGCTCGGTTTGCGTTCCTATGTATCCCTTCTTCTCACTTTTCCTCATTTGTAGATTCTTTCGGTGGCAAGATCACGGCGCTATTTGGGTGCGAGACTCCGATCCTTATCTTGAATTAATTCTTCCTTATTTCAGTATTGGGTTTCAAATCATCGGATGGATAGTCATGGCCGCATCTGGTCCGGCATTTGATGGCTATGGTGCGGGGATGATTGTATGGACTGTTGGAATCGAACCCGCCTTCTTTGGAATCGTTTCAATCGCAAATCTCTTTCCTACGCGAACATCGACTGGGATCTCTATCTTGGGAGCTGCACGGTATTCATTGAATGAATCAATCCTAATCCAGTTGAATGATGTTCAGAGTGCTGGCTTTCTGCGTTGGTCCGATCTTTATGTATCCTCTTCACAAGAAACAAATAACGTTCCGAAAAATCACAATTATCTTTGCCGTGGCCACTGCACTGTCATTCCTAGCAGCAATATTTCTAGTTCCGTTCCAAACATACCCAAAACTTCGGTGGGGAAAAAAATTGAATACAGAAAATAAGGAACAACTGTCAACATACCGTGAGAGAATTCACCGCCGACCTCGCTTCAGTATGGAAGGATTCATTTCCAGCGCGAAAAAGCAAATTAAAGAATTCTTCCAGCAGGCTTTCACACTCTCATATTTGCTGTTCTGCATTGTTGCAATCTGTACAGGCTTATGTTTCAACTATTTGTCTTTCTATTTAATGGAAATTGATAGGACTCGAGTTACCAATCGTGTTTCTATCTTCACCTTCATTTTATCTCCTTTCATCGGAATTTTTGCGGATTGCGTGTCCAACTCGTTGATGATTAGTGCTGTTGCTGCTTCTGGTGCGGTGGCGTTGGGGCTGACGCTGTTCAAAACCCTGTCACTGTACGGCCCAGCTATTCTTGGGTTAATCTTCATTAGTCATGCCTTCACTCAAGTAAGCCAACCCGCTATATGGTTCCCTATTATTTCCACCGTTTCGCAGTTTTATGCTTACGCAGCGTTCAGTTACCCTCAGAGCCACATGGTAAGCAGCACCATACAAGTCATCTGCCATGCGGTCAAAATCTCAGGGAAAATTGACTGGGATGGCGTTGTGTCTTGGCGGACTCGTGGGGCTCGCCCACAGGCCGATGGTTAAGTCTGCTCTTATCCGTCCGTTCCATATGAGCTTGCTGGGCCTTTTCATTGAAGTTGTCGCCCTCGCTATTGGAGTTTACTTTCATTTCCGAATTGAGGCTCCCGTCCGACGAGAAGCCAATTTGATGAAAAATAAAGAAGAAGAAACGACAGCAACCCTAAGTATTCCATGAATGAGGTCAGCTAACGTTTGACATTAGAGTCAATGTTCTATTTTGTCGTGGTCTTTTTAAATTCACTTCGATGATCTCCGATTTTATCAATTTTTGTAGTTCAGCGAATATTGAATTTTGCTAGTTTTTGTAATCGTCTTCAGGCGTGATTTTCGACCGAATTTTTTACTTCACCTTTTTTTTCTATTTTATGTTTCATCCGCGGGTTGTTAGGAGAATGTGTTCTACATTTTGCATTAACGGAAACTATTGAATTTCATTGCACTAGATTGGATGATGCGTCAGTCAGCAGCCAGCCCTTAACATCGTTCATATGAATTGTTTGTTGAATGGGAATCTAATGACAAGTCTAATTGTTGGTAATTGGGAATGTTTCTCCTTCAGTCTTTGTTGACATTTCTGATACTAGCGTTACCATCTCGACATGATGTCTCCTTGATTTCATCAACCTTTTCTGCAATGTACATTCTTCTTTATTCTTTTTTTCTACGTTCGTTGATCTGCTTTTATCCTGAAAGGAAATTTCGTCTCAAATTATTGGAAATATTCAATTCTGTGCGGAAGAAGTTTGTGGTCAACACGTAGCCAGATGTTGTGTGCCAATTCCCTTCATATCTAGCTCCTAGAAAAGTATACAACAAGCACAAAAAAGAGAACAGGCCAGAATCTAAACGTGTTACAGCAGTTAAGGCCACAATCTAATCCGCACGTGCACGTTTATAAATTCAAAGGCTGTTGTGATGAACATACTTCTATTGCTTGCGTCCGCTGTAGTTGTTGATGCTCTTCAGTGTCAATCTGGATGTAAACCGGGAGAGCCTCCAATGCAGGCTGCCGTTTCGCGCAACCAGACGTTCAACCTTCCGTCCACCAAGCGCCAGCAAAAACCTACAAATCCAAAGAATAATGCATGAATCGAATTTTTGCGAAAATTTTGATTGAGCCTGAATTTCATAAATCACAGTGCCCGTCAGTACTGAGGTGCGTTCATCCTATTCGTCTCTTGGGCTGAATTTGCACAATCGCGAGAAAGCTCTGCACACAGAACGCGTGGTTTGCGCAATGTTCTCTTTCAAGCTGCCTGTCTTTGTTTTCCTGAGGACTGCCTTTGGGCTCTTAACATTTGTTGCACTTGTTATTATGCTGTGGAAGAGGAGATCCTTTGCTTCGAGTGTTTTCGACAAAATCGACAGCAAGCGAACCTCATGAATCAGGTCTGTGAATTTCATCAACTCAAAAAAAATGACGCAACTAGAAACAGAAGGATCATCAACTGAACAACAAACAGCTGTGGGTTTCAATTGAATAATCATGTCCCAAAGATGTCATCGCAGACTGTATCCCCGTCGGATGAAGGTCTTCCCAGCAAATCGACCAAGGAGACTGCAGCGTGTCACGAATTACAAACTCCATGGACGTTTTGGTACGATAGGAAGGTGCGCGTTTCATACAGCAGTGGGAGTGGAGGGCGCAAGGAATCTGATATGTTAATGGATTCCGCACACTACGCGAAGAATTTGAAGGAAATCCACACGTTTGAGACTGTTGAAGAGTTCTATAGGTAAATAGCTGTACAGTGAAAAATAAGGGATTAAAAAAGAAAAGGCATCCAGAGATCACTGAAGACATTTCTTTATCCCTTTTTTTTATTTTCAGAGCTTTTGCTTTCATCAAAAAGCCTTCAGAACTTCCTACTGATTTCAACATCTCGCTTTTTCGTCGAGGATCCAAACCTATGTGGGAGGTATCTGATACATTTAAGACCAGTTGATAGATATGTAGATATAATATGAAGACCTGATGATAGATCCATAGATATAATATGAACAAATGCTGCGACTTTGCCATTTATTCACTGCTGTTGTTGTAGGAATTCCCGAAGGGGGGCATGTGGATTATTCGTATCAAGCAAGGCCAGACGGTTGAGATCAAGACAAACCGAAATAAGAAACAGAGAAATGGCCAGAACAACGACGCGAAGGTTCCACTTATTGATGTCATGTGGGAAAATCTTGTAAGTATGGACCGAGTGTTTCCGGTCTCCAATCAGTTCTCTCTCATTAGGTGCTAGCATGCGTTGGCGAGCTTTTTGCTATGCCAGAAGTGGTCGGAACAGTGTTGAGTATTCGCAGCAAAGTAAGTCGGTCTCAGTTCGTTATGGCATTTGTTTTGTTTTAGGAAAATGTCTTGTCCGTTTGGAATATCGATAATGATAACCCGGCTGTTAGATTTCGCGTTGGGTAGGTCGTCATTCACGAATGGTTTGATTTATTGTCGATAGACAAAAATTGCGAGAAATTTGTGCCCTTCCAACAAACACGTTGATGCGATACAAAGATTTTGAACAAGCGATGCAAGACTGCTCCTCCTATCGTAATGCTCAGAAGTTTATATTTGCTTCTGACACAAGGACATCAAAATCCCTCAAGGACGGAGTAAGCGATTCCCGTTGTTCTATTTTTATGATTTTCTGTAACAGAAGCGTCCCACCATCGTCCCGTCACTGTTAAGGCTGCCATTTCGCCCTCTGTAACGTTCCTGAAGGGCCCAGCCGTGCCACCATCGTGGAGCTTGAAGAGACTGAAGCACCTTCGAAGTGACGCTGAAGGTGATTTTGATGGGTCTAGCATCTTTTTGCAAAACAGCAAGAATGACTTTTTCCGTCCCATTTTATGCGAACTAGGCGTGTCTCGTCAATTTAACGAATTGTGTCCTCGACGCACAGTTGAGATTTTGTTTTTAATTTTCGATGCCTGAAGTTTCATCGCGCGGAGGATCCTCACGTGGTGTTGTAAACTCCTCTAGGGGAACGAAAAAGGGACAAAAACAGCGAGAAGAAGCATCTGATCATGAAATGAGCGATGATGACTCTGGAAGGAGGGAGGAGCCTGAAGAACGTCAAAAGAAGCCTGTCTCAATCAAGAAGAGCAAGAAACCTCAAGGAGGTCGCGCTCCACCGAAAAGGGATCGGATGGGGGTTCACAAGAGACTTCAGCTTCACTTTCCAGTCGGTCGCATCGGGAGGTATTTGAGGAAAGGACACTTTTCTAGAAGGGTTGGTCGAGCTGCACCAGTATTCATTGCTGCTGTACTCGATTACATGGTGGGAGAATTAGTTGAAATAGCGTGTGATGCGGCTAGAACCCAGAAGAAGACAACTGTCAAGCCGCGTCATATTCAACTTGCAATTAGAGAAGATCTCGAATTTTGTCGCTTACTTGGAGAAGTCACAATCACTCAAGGAGGAAATGGAGGAAAAGTCAACATTGCGCCTGTCTTGCTTCAATCAATGCACCCAATACGCAAGGGCGTTGAACATGAAGATGCAGAAATGAGTGTGAATAATGAGAAAAAGCGAAATGATGAGAGCGATGGAGAAGAACCACCAGAAGAAAGTGAGGAAGATGCAAATGAGAATGAAGAAGAAGAAGAAGATGATGAAGGGTCACAAGAATACTGATGTTTGCAGGCAACAGTTGAATTTGAGTTCCATTTTTTTGCAAGTATTTAATTGGTTTTCATGATTTTTCTCGTGAATTTGCAACTGTGTGATCTGTATTGATCTGGAGACAGTAGACGAAACTGTACAGAATGAAGCGATTGCGTAAGCACATTGTTGAGTCTGATGATGAAGAATCTAATGAAGGTCCGACGAATCCACCTAAACGTCGATGCACACCAAACCCTTCTTTTGCGAGTGAAACAGTCGTGTCCCAAAACTCCCAAAACAGCATCACTCCAATGCAGGGATCATCCCCCGAGACTGAAAAATCAGACGAAGAGTCGAGCGATGATTCTAATGAGAGAAGTTCTGATGACGAACAGCAAGGGTCTTCTGGTGGCAGTTCAATCAGACAGAGACGAGGGAAGACGGGTCTCTTCAGTGATGACGATTTCAATGAAGAAGACAGCGATAGAACTGTGGGATCAGAACACCCAGTGGATGGTGGGGGACGAAAAAGGAGATTCAAAACTGGGAGGAAGAAAGTGAATGATGAATTTGAAAGCCAAGAGATGAAAGAAGCGGAAGCCGAATGGACACAACCATCGGATGCGTTGAATGAGGAGAGTGGTGAAAAGCCAACTGAAGAATCAGATGAGGGGGAAAGTGATGAGGAACCAAACAGTGGAGGAAGACAAAAGGCATGGAAGGGATTAATATTGAATTTGGTTCCGAAAGAAAAAGGAGAAAAATCTTCTGGAGTCACGCGCGTGAAAGTCGGACCTTCGTTGCTGCAGGAGGGAAAACCCGATGAAGCGGGAAAACTGTTTGAAGACGGAGAGAGTCCCAAAAAAGAAGGCGAAGAAAGTGATTCACTCGGATACGGAAGCGATGGTAGTGGCGACGAGGGCAGTGAGTGGATGGATAATGTTATGAAGGAGCTGATAAAAGGAGAGGAATCAGAATATCGACAATTACAAGAAAAAAGGAATGTTGTTCGAGCCCAGGAGCAGACGGATCGCGGGATTGCGTCTGTCGAGTCCCAAAAAATGAGAAGAAAGCGGTTGATACTGACGATGCTGCGATCTGTGTGTCCTCAAAGAGCTTTATGGAGTGGAGCGTCGGACAAATCTGCTCTCGGAAATGAAATTAATCAGCAATTAATTCCATTTGTTGCCCTTCCTGAACATTTGAGAAAAAGTGAATTACGTCGTGGAGTTGCTGTGACTCCTGAGGGTCTTCATAAAGCTGCAATCGATCTTCAAACGAAGTGGGCGCATTCATCTCAAACAGCGATGAACTGGTGTTGCTTTGAGAATTTGATGAAATCCCGAGAATCTGAGACACAACGCGAGATTCAAATAGCTGCATTAGAAGATTGGTGGCTGGGAAAGCACAGCACTGTCGTTCTGGATAGGGAAAAAGCAGACACATTGCTAAGGAGTGTTTATTCTGAAGAAATGGAGCAACTGGATAATTTGGTGTCGCTCGAAGTCGAAGATCTGATTGAAACTCAGAAACTTGTGGAAGAGAGCAAAGGACAATTAAAGCGTTGGATGGATGCTCGACGTGTTGATGGAGTGATGAAATCTCTTAAAGGGAATAAAAAGAAAAGAAAAGTAAAGAATAAAACAAAATTAGATCGAAAGAATGAAGGACGAAAGACAGTCCCAATCATTGCGGAAGTCCCAATTGTATCTGAGGTCCCAATCATTGCGGAAGTCCCAATTGTATCTGAGGTCCCAATCATTGCGGAAGTCCCAATTGTATCTGCAGTCCCAATCAGAGAGGAGGCGAACAAACAAGACTCAAATCAATCGAAAGAAGACGATGAAGTGAAGGAAAGAGGGAAAACAACGTCTTCTGCATCAGAAACGTCACAATCGAACGACCCTCCAACTGCGGCGATGGGTGTCCCAGTGGAGGGTGAGCAAGAGGATGAAGTTGCATTGAAGAGGTCTCTAGAGACAGCTGAAGTGAAGCCGAATGATTCGCGTTTGGGACATACAATCAAAACGGGAGTCAAATCAAGTGAACGAGTCAAGAGTGATAAACGGTTGGATTCTTCGCAGGTAAACGGAATTAGTGTTGAGTGTTGAGTCTGTAGTAAAACCGTTGAGTGTCGTTGATGTTGAAGACGTTTTTGTTCTGCAGATGTCCTTGTTCAAGTTTATGAAGCCAGGTGCTAAGGAATGCGAAATTCATGAAAAGCAGAAACCCAAAGTTGTTTCTCCAAAAAGAAGAAAATCAGCGTTTGATATTTTGGAAGAGTCGTTCAGTCAAAAGAGCAGCAGAGAAGAGAACATTCCACCATCGAGTGATGAAGGTACATCATGTCAAGAGAGGAATGGACTTATAGAAGAGAGTGTTTTGTTGGAAGATTCAATTATTAGAAATGAGCGTGAAAATGGAAAAGAAAATATCGCAGGGAAGGACGAGGTTCAAAGAAGTGATGAAGAAAATAAAAACATTGTTAAGAAGAGAGAAAAGTCTTCAGAAAAAAAGAGGAATAGAAAGATTGAGAAAGTTATAAATTCAGAAGAGGAATTGATAAAACTGCGGAAAGAGAAAACTAAAAAGAGGAAAGAGTTTCTGGTTAGTCAGGGATTGATAGATGAGATTGCGTCTGAAGGTGAAGAAGATCCAGAAGCCGAAAATGAGGAAGAAAAAGAAGGAAAAAAGCTAAAAAAGAAGAAAGAGAAAATAATCATGGCAAGTGATGAAGAAGAGGGATTAAGTGAAGACGAGGAAATGGTTGAAGATTTGATTGCGACTGAAGAGGCAGCTGAAGAAGCAGATGAAATTGGATGGTCAACTGAACTGTTCGAATTGCATCGGGAGCGGATGTCTGAAGATGAAGAGCGTGTTTATGAGAGACATTTCACGTTAGCTGGAATGCAAAACGCGCGACAGAAGAACAAATTTGAGGAATTCATGGAGGGGGAGAAGTACAACGAGGCGGGAGCAACTGAGACGAGAAGAAGCCGAGCGTGGAGATGTTGAACAGCTTGACGAAGCTGCAGAACTTGAAGAAATGTTGGCGGAATATCGAAGAGGAAATCGAAGTGATGATGATATCTTTAGTGATGAATGGTCGGATGATACTGAAGAATCATCAATTGACGAAGAAGAGGACGATGGAGCGGATGACAAAGGAGTTATGTTTGGTGGAGAGATTCCAATTCAAGTCGAAGGAAAGAGGAAACAGCCGAGACGAGTTAAACCCTTGCATCAGGACTCTTCAATGGAAGATGAAGTCAGACGCTCAAGAACGGAGAACTCTAGAACAGCCCCGCGCAATCGTCAATCATCAAAGTCGTCATTATATCAAGATATTTTGTCTCATCCCGCATTCTCATCATCCCTACAGTCTGGTCTCACTCAATCAACCTCAGCATCGCAGAGTGAAACGTCCGAACTGTCTAATCCCATTTCCACTATATGGCCATCAGCATTTGCTGCCCATATCCAACCAGCTGGTCCAATAGCGTCCACCAATTCCCCATTTCTTCCATTTTCCTCAAATCTCCCTTCAATTTGTGAAAAATCGAATCCAATCTCCAGATTTTTCGCCCATTCAGATTCCCAATCCAAATCTATGGGAAATTCTAAATCAATGACAGACATCCTTCGAGTCACAAAATCTTCCACTGGAATGTGTCCCAAGGTTGGGACTTCATCGAGTTCCTCATTAGGGTTTCTGCAGCGCCTTCAGCAATTTGAAAGCGTCAAACCGAAACCTTTTGATGATACAAATCAGGAATTTCCGTGACAAACACACTTTTAACATTTTCACTTTTATACTTCAGAATTCGTTTTAGTTCTATTTTTGTTTTTACACATTTTTTCGGTCCGACAAGAAGCATCTTGGTTCAATCTAAAAGGGAAGCCGTGGCGCAAAACTCTAAAGACGTCAAAGCTTAAAAACGCTAGAAAAAAAAGGGGGCACAAAACCTTCAGAGATTATGATCAAGTTACCAAAGACATTGAAAAACTATTGATATTGTTAAAATGCATCTCTATTAAAAGCGTTGATGATGATCGACTATGAGTCCTACTGTCGCAGAGCCAGATGACTCCCATATTCGTGATGAAAACGGCGGAGACACGCTTGAAGTCCTTCCTTCAGAACGAGTGGAAGAATCAACGCGGCTGATAGATATTCCGACGTGTCCGCATGCATCATTCGTCGAAAGCGGAAGACGCACAAGCGCTGGCGAAGAAGCGCTCGCTCCATCAGAATGGTTTGTTGCTGAATTGGATCACAGTCCAAAAGGTTAGACAAAAGGTCCCTCTGGACGAGCCTGTCATTTAATGTCGGAAAATCGCTGGAATCAGAAAGAAAATGTCGTTCCAATAGATCAGGAAAGAACTCCTTAAGAAGACGTTTGAGATTTGGATGGACATCAGAGTGGCTGATATACGAAGCAAGATCTGCGACTAAGGCGGCGTAACACCGAGCCCGATCTAGTAAATAAATCATGCAAACTGAGTTACAAAAACCCTCTTCAATGAGGAGAGGAAAATGGTACCCTGAAAAAAAACAAATTAGGTGATCGCACATACTTGCATCTTACCAGTTGCAAATATGTAAGCATGCGTCAATTCATGAGCAAGAGTCGAACAGAAGATATCAACTGGTAATCCTTCAGCAATAGTGATCCCCTTCATAGCGCGACCCTTTCGTCTAATTCGATCCCTTCGTGTTGTACCGATGCTGTCAAAAGATGACAAAGATGAGATGGAAACGTCCCTTCTTGGAAAATTCATTTTCGAAGAATTGATTCTCGAAAAATCCATTCTTGGAACTTCAAGAGGCCTTCGGAACGTCAGCGGGGGGGAACATCGCGCATAAAGTCTCCGAACAGTGGCTGCGTCGGGGAAAACGAGAATCAGGGAAGATCTGGCGACTTTGAAAAAATCTGGACTGAGGAATTTGCACCTTAGATGGATTGTGGTGATGTTGGGTTCGACGAGTTTCTGTTTGAGCTCGCTGGTTTCTCATGACAGGTAACAATTCCCTAGACATACTCCTTCTGGTGTTTAACTGATGATCTGCGCATTGAAACGATAAATTAGCATCAGAACTCTGTGAACTTGAAGGTGGACCTCTGTGAGTTGCCATTTCTGAGTATGAATACACGGATCTGCTCACCGAAGCCTGATGCCACAACCTTGCTGAATCTAAATTGTCACTGAAACGGGCTGCAAAGAAGTGCTTTTGGTCTTCGAATGCATGTGATCTGTCATTGAAGCGAGACGTGACTCTGGGTGGCATTTCACTCTTCACTGTCTTTGAGCTTTTCATCACGGGGGAACAGTTGAGAGGATGTTCAAGGCACTCACATTTACCAAAAACGAGATCAACCGCCCACTCCTTAGGGTCTCCGCAGACAGTTAAACCTGAAGGCTTCTTATGAGGTCTACTGAGCTTATGAAGATCCACAAGCTCGATCAAAATGCTTCGAATGTCTTCAGATTTGGCTTTCTCGTGTTCAGTTCGATCGTGGTGAAACTCTAAACGAGGGCAACCAAAATCGAAGTGGATTTGTAAAAGGGGATTCGTCTTCAACCGCCTCAAAACTTGTTGCACAGCACGCTCAGGAACGCTTGAGTTGTCGACAACTTGTCCTGTTGCTGCACATGTCGCGCAAATAAACAGAGAATTCCTATTTTTATGCCTCCCAATTTGACGCCTTCTGAACCCCCCAAAACGATAAACATCATTTAAATAAAATACTCTGAGAAATTTCAACGGAACATGACAGCTTCTCAAACACTGACTCACTTTTTTCCACATCGTTTCTCGCAAACTACGCAACGAGCAAGTAGTTGGCAAAATTCACAAAAAGGTTCTCGAGGCCAAAGGGGATGAGTAACAGCCTTGCTGCTCAGGAAACCCGAACAAGAAGAGCATTTAGAAGGTTGCCGATTTCTATGATCCTCGATCCGGAGGTCACGTCGGCAGTAAGAGAGAACTTCCTGCTTTGCTGATCTTGCCTCAAACGAGTCAAAATTCCCAGATTGCAGGGCGTGTAACACCCGCTGCATTGGTATGGGGCCAGGACAAGCATGTGAATGCAGGCCATGCAGATTAGTCGACCAACCGGCTGCTTGGCCAGACTGTTGGAAGTTTGAGCAAGAGTAGGATAAAAGCGTCAGTGAGAGCATTCAACAAAAAGCTATCGACAGGAACTCCTGGTCCTGCAAACGGAGCCTCACTGATGCCGAACTCTTCTAGAACGGCAATTCCTACAAGAGGAAAAGACAGGCCTCGACGAGCTTCAGCACAGGACAACCACAGCGTCCCCCTGGGGGGTAGAGGATTTGTTTTTGGAGGGATGAGAAATTGCGGTTCTATGCCTGACAAAGCCAGCAGTCTCCCCACAAGAGTTTCTTTGCAAATGGCCGTATAGAACGCTGAGAAGTTCTGACGTGGCTGTAGACGTCGACATTGGGTGGGAGAGGAGAGAAAAGATAAAGTGGCGTTGTCCAACTCAGGAAGCTTGTTTAATTCCTTGAGTTGTTGTACTGAAAACTCGAAAAATGTGAGTGTTAAAGAGGTCTGGAGGAGACGGCCCAGCGGCTCCTTCCATTGCTTCATCGTCAGTGACAACAAGCAGAGTAGTATCGCAAGATAAGGTTTGAACATGGAGGGTCCTGATGCTGTTGTTAGAGTGAGTGGTGACGGGGAATGGCTTTCCGGCAATGTGAGATCGAACAACCATGAACAGACAAGGTCTCTTACATTTCCAGATGCGAGACAGTTCTGTTGAACAATTCGGGAGACACACCAAGAAGGGACAGAAGATGCTGATTCTAAGTTGTCAAGCGAACTCTCATCGAAGCTAGGATTGTCAGGAGTAGAAGATCTGAGAGTCTCCAGATGAATTCTGAATGCGTCGTTGAAACGCCGAAACAGTGTTGTTTCGACAAATGCGAAACGCGCACGTGAGACGGATGTCGCAGGAAGTGTCGAAGATGCTGCTTCCAGGGCGATAAACAACTGGCGCGCCAAATGACCCTCCGACATTCCGACGGGATTTGTGGCCTCGGGTAATTTCATTTCTTCGAAAGACTGTGGGACTGGCGCAGCCGTGAGATCACCCACTCCGGAAAAGAGCTCCGTGTCCCAAAGCGACGAGTCAGAGACGCTTATATCTGCAACGATTCGCTTCGGTTTTTCAGTGGTTTTTCTGTCTTTTTGGAATTGAGCAAGAATTGGGAAAATGACGGGAAGACGAACAACGAGGCGGTCAAGCGGACGTTGAAATGTCCCAATTGAACTCAGCCAATGAAGATGTTGGCGAAAAGTGCGGGGGTCCGCCTGGAAAACACATGAAAATGGGGGGCTCAATGATGTGTCCCAAAATTGAAGTCATTACCTTCAATGACAAGTACGACAGGGAATGCGCGAAGGAAAGCTCGACCATCATTGAGGAAAGTTGGAGTGAAGTTGGAATCAATAGAAGCGCCACGAGCGTCAATGGAGACCCGATTTTGGATTCGTCTCTTTGTTTCAGAAGAGTTGTTAGACGAGGCACTGGTTTGCTCAATGCAGTTGGAACAGGACAATCAAAAGAAAGACCAAGCGACTTCTGAATTGATTCATGCTTAAGATTATCGTCCCCTCCACACAGGAAAGTCGAAAACGATTCCTTGAGAAACTCATAAAGAACTTTTTCATATTTGATCCTTCGTTCGGAAAAGATTTTCTGATTGTCGTTCATGAATTGAGGTGGAAGTTCCTCGCCAATTTCCGCCGCTTCAACTAATTGAAGCACCCGATACGAACATGGTTGAGAGAAAAACTCCAGAATTGGTTTAATTTCTGAAATTCGACCAACGGCGCTCGTCAGAAAAACAAGTTCTCTTCCAAGAATCAAACATATTGATTCACGAAAAGGAAAAAACTCTGAAGGTGAATTGACGGAACTGTCCGCAGTGATGTCGTCCAACCGGAAGTTCCACATCGTCATGACGACCCGAACGGCTCGCTGTCTGGCCATTGTTGCTGCCTGGGATAACCCCTCCGTTGCAGTGCCGGTTGCGAGCGTTTCAGCAGAGACGCCATCAACTCGAATCCAGGAAACTGACCGCCAAAAGAGAAGCACGGAAAGAAGAACGTAAAGATTACCAGATTCAATGGAGTGAGAAGACAGCCAAGAGAGAAAGGGACTTGGTGCATCACCAGGTGGCCCCAACACGAGTTCGCACAGCCTTGCTATTGCCGTCGCTTCAATGTCGTGCGTGAAGGTGAGAGTCGATAGTTGAAGGAGAAGGTGTAAGCAAGCAAGTTCAAATGAATGTCCTGTTGTCTCCCCATTCAACTTGTCTTTTGTCGCACAACGATAGAAAGTCCAAGCGAACACTCCCCCGATAAATTGATTCAGGCAGAACGAATCAAGATGATTGAAACGGGAGCACAACAACGAAATGACGGAAATAAGATCTGATGCAGCCAACGATTCCTGCTCTCCAAGTGACACCCAGAGAAGATCGAGAAGACGAAGAAGTGCATCTGTTCCTGGTTGAAAATCGTCAAATGGAATTAGAAGGACTTTGGTTGGGACAAGAGTTTCCTGATCAGTTGATAGAGGGGATGCTATTGAGATTGGGACAACTTCGCTGGTCTGTTGATATGCAATCGATCCATAAACAAGACCAAGTAAGATACAACGACGAGCCTCATATTCATCAACATTTCTAGATGAAAAATATCGAATCAATCCAGGAGCGTCCAAAATTTGAGAGGTTGTGAAAACATCAAGAGGTCGAGCAAGCCTTAAGACAACAGCCCGATGATGGTCGTTTCGAGCTTCACCATTCCATGATGAAGCTTTCAATGTCCAAAGCCAAGATTGGACCAGAACGGTCGTCAATTCCGTGTTGTCATTGGGCGGGAGCGTTGGCATTGCACCTGGCCCGTTGGGTGGACGGAACTGGAAAACAGAGTCGATGTGCGGAATCTGTCTTGTTATCGAAAATATCGATGCAGAGACACGGAAGGATCTCTTTTTAACGTTATGTCCGACATTCGACCCTAAAACGTTATCGAACTCATTTGATTGTGGTGAAGACCTTGAAGAACGATGTCTCATCCAAATTCAGAGAAGGGGTCCAACTTTGCGAGACGGAAGACGTCAAATCATTATTAGAAATCGATCTAGAAGAATTGAAGAAGAAACGTTGGATGAGGTGACGAGAGACAATGAAGCATCAACTGATTTAAGATGCTGTTTGTATGCGGCAGTCCTTCATCTTCGAGGAGTGTGTCCCACTCCACAACCATTGAACCTTCCGAAGGATTCAAGAACATCTAAAATCACACTTGCCTGGAATGGCGAAGTGTTTGGAGGTGCCATGTATCTGGAATGCGAGAAGAATTCCACCATGAGCGATACAGACATTATTTGCATGTCATTCTGCAATCTCTATGACAAATACTCCACTTATTACAATTTAGATGATTTTGAGAAAGAAGGACTCGCACTTCTGGAAGCAATCGATGGACCTTTTGCAGTTGTCATCCACTTCAGCAGTCCAATTGATCAAATTTGGATAGCGAGAGACAAGATTGGAAGGCGTAGTTTGTGTCTCATGGATCCACAACCACATCGTGAATCTGGTTCGATCATTCTCACGTCTGTTGGTCCATCGATGTCCCAAAATGGTCCATACATGGCGGAAGTGGGAGTCTCTGGGGTGTTCGTTTTGGATCGTCATTCTGATGCGCGCATGAGAATTCGTTGCTTTCCTTGGAAGAAGCCCATAGAGTTCAACAGCAAAGAATTTTGGAGTGCGCAACTATCGATTGAACCTCCACTGCTTCAATTCAGAGATGCAACTGTAATTGCTTTAGAAAATTTGTTGTTGAATGCCATCAAAATAATGATTTCGATTCCCGAACAGAAATCGGTGAGTTGAATTCCTCCATTTCTATTTTCATCGATTTCTGTTTAGATCGCTTTGATGTTTTCTGGCGGGCTCGATTCAGCCATTTTGCTCTCGCTGATACTCAAGGTAGTGAAATGAAAGTAGATATGTATAATCAAGTAGATCTGACAAATCTGTAGCATTTCAATTATCATTGTAGACACTTTCACCGGGAACGCAACTTGATTTATTGAATGTCGCGTTTGGACAACACTTGGAAGCTCCTGATCGCTTCACTGCGCTTGCTACGTAAGATTGAAAAATGACAAACAAAATCATCAACAATCTCTTAGATATCAAGAGATTCAATCTATTGACACTTTTGGGACTGCATTTCAGCAGATTAACTTGGTTTGCATCGATATTTCAAAAAGTGAGTCGATAGAATCACGTACTGCGCCCACGAATCTAATCTTTCTCCTTTTATTAGACGAACTCAAAGCAAACGAGTTGGCAATCTGTTCTTTGCTTCATCCTAAAAATTCACATATGGATTTGAACATAGGGGCTGCGTTATTTTTTGCATCAAGGGGAATTGGATTTTTGATTCGTCCAGAATTTCATCAAAATGAAAATCAAAACTGGTGGTCTCATTACCTTGAAGGTAATGATAATCATTGCGACCCTGCAGCGTCAGCCGTTTCTGTCGTCATAGAAAATCTTCCTGCTTCTATCGAGAAGCGTCATGAAGCGAAGACCAAGGTTGTTGTTCCACGTCAGTGTTCTAACTGCCATCTCATGAGAAAACCTGGATGTGCATACGAATTATGCCGGCTCTGTTGCGAAAGGGGAGCCCGTCAGAAACCTGAAGTCCAGCAATGTAAAATCCATCATATTCGAATCGTGACTGAAATCAAACCAGCATCAGAATCTATGAAGCCTCACAGTTGGTAAGCTCACTGGCATCAATCTGTCAGACTGCTTGTGTCAGCCTGTATCAGACGGGAATCGGTCAGATGTTGCAAAGCTGCCCTTGTTGTGGTGAAGCCGCTATCTTGTATTCCAGTCGAGCTCCAGTGGTTTTGGTTGGACATGGAGCTGACGAGCTTTTCGGCGGCTATGGAAGGCACGCAACGGCCGACATGCATAACGGTTTGGCAGGAGCAAGGGATGAGATGACAAAGTGAGTGAAGGATTTTAGGATGAAAAATGATTATCTGTTTTCAGAGACTTGCGTCGACTGTGGGAGAGAAATCTCGGTCGCGACGATCGTTGTGTCTCTGATTGGGGCAGAGAAGCTCGTCATCCATTTTTGGATGAAGAGGTCGGCAATCAGATCTACTGGCCGAGCTAATTTTTTTTGCCCCAGGTTATAAGATTTGTCGGTAGTCTTCCATTTGAACTCCTCCGATCGGATGAAGACAAGCCTTTGCTTCGAAATCTCGCTCGTCGCCTCGGTTTATTTAGATGCGCTGAATTCAAAAAACGAGCAATCCAGTTTGGTAGTCGTTCTGCTCGTCAAACAAATCATGATTATTTTTCTAGCAACCGTAAAGCAAAGGGAACCTCGAGGTATATTCCCAACCCAATACTAAACTAAAGTCGGAATAAATGTTGGGGTTCGACGGATGCAAAACTAAAAGAACAGGCATCTGTGGTCTAGTGGTAGAATACCTCGTTGCCATCGAGGTGACCCGGGTTCGATTCCCGGCAGATGCATTTTTATATTGGACTTTTTTTGCAAGTCTCTTGAAATGTATATTTTACAAAACCGTATGGATCACCCACGAGTTTAGTATCTCGTCTACTGACTTGGCCTTGGAAAGCAGGCGCATCTCAACACATCGAGGTTCCTGCTGTGGTAACCTTCCCCGTAAACTTGGTGATGCACCGCGAGACATTGTTTGAGCTGATTGTGGTTCTTCATTGCTTTATGGGAAAGAAATAGAAAACGAGAAAAAAGGAAAAAAAATTTTCTAACGCATAGCGTACTGGATCGAGATCATCAATTCTATCAATTACTAAGACGAAAAAAAAATCGCTACTAGCAGCAGCAGTTGTTATGGAGACCTCCGACGTTTGGTGTCTTTCGTGTGACTCCTTCTCCTTTTCACCCTTCTTTTCAGTTTCTTCCTTCTCTGAAGTTTCTTAGTCAATCGCCGTAATTTTTTATCCCGATGTTCCTTGCGAGGAGGTTTGAAAAACATAGGCTGCCACTTGATCGACTCCCCGTTCTAAGTTACAAAAAATATGGTACAAGCTGAGATGTAGATAACTACTCACAGCGACAACCGATGATGGAGAACCCCTTGGGTATTTCAAGAGATTAACTTTCCCCTCAATGGGTGATTTGCTTTTGAGGAAGACTTTGTGCCAATCAGTCGGCGCCTCCCACCTCGCAACTTCTTTTATTTCCATACGGAGGCATTCGTCTCCTCCGATGTCCTCAATGGCATTATTCGCTGATTTTTTAAGGTGCTTTGAGAGAGATGAAACTGTTTTGGATAAACTTGGATCGGATGAAACACTTCTCTCTATAAAGTGTTTGAGGAATTGTCTTCCGAAATTAGCAAATCCCTTGATCTTGTGATTTCTGTTATTGGTCTTCGTCACGAATTCCCCGTACATACTTGCACAATACATTCCAAGGTACTTGAACCTGCTAAATTTATACAACGTGTTCAGGGCCTTAGGATGTTTAACTTCAAAAATCTTCTGTGGCCAACATCCACTAACCAAAATGGAAGATCAATGACCCAACATGTCAGCAAATGAACATCTTACATGAGATGTGGATACCTCTCAACGATTACAGCAGTGAATGCCAATAGAAGATTAGAACTGTCCTCCAGCAAGTTGACGTGACGCTCGCAAAATAAAGTTCTCCTGAGTTGCTCAAGTCGACATCGGCCAGGACGTCATTTTTATCGATGAATGGGGGCTTGGTTATGATGCTGTCGATGAGCCGAACGAGGCAATCTGTTTCGGTTTCTCCCAAGATCATCCTGTCAGCGTTCCGTCTATGAATAGTCCGTAAGGTTCAAGCATCATTCCGACCGAAATGCTTTTGTCGTCTCTAAGAGGGGCAGAGGCGAGACTGGTAGAGGGGGAGTGCTGCTCACGTTGATGGGGCTTTGGCTCTACCGAATATGATGGTCGCCCAATTATTGACGAGTTCTCTTCAAACATGAACATTGATGAGTGCCACAACTCGGGACTTACTGGTTTTCACTAAACTCGACCCGAATCTTAGCATCGAAACATTTCGCAAAGATGGTATCCGAGTCTAAGAATATTGCTTTTTTTTTAAGTTCTCTTCATCATTAGAAATCTTTCCCTTTCCCTAGATTGTTGTTCTATGGAGTGAATGTTGAACAAATTTTATGAAGACCTCTTGGGCCATCCAAACTCCATGGTCTTTCAGCGAGATACCGGTAGATGAGTTCGATGTCGGACTTCGTCATTCTGAAAATTGGAGCTATTAGGTCTCTTGATTAGTAGCTTACATGATATCCTCATACCATTCTGGTGTCCATGGATAACTGCAAGGAATGGATGAAGAAATGACTGCTATAAAAATTCTACTTACCACAAAGTTGAGACAACCCTTCATGCATAAGTCCTCTAAATCAACAGAACCTACTAATCTTGCTTCCGCGGCTTCTAATTTCTCTTTTTCGCTTGCTTTCTGTTCCACATTTCCCAAGCGAATGAGGACACTCCGCAAATTTAATATTCTGGTATGAAGGATTATCGAAAAACAGAGAGAGGATTGTTGAATACCTCGGGATCCGTCCACAGGCGCTCCTCCGCCTCATTCCACGACAGATTGGATGAATCGATTGGTGGAGTAATATGAACGCATGCGCGTGAAGGCAGAATTGTTGTTGTTTTAGGAAAGCTTCCAATTAGGCTCCAATCTAGATTCAGCGCAGGATCGTCTGGTGGCAAAACACCCACAGAACACTCCGCGACTCTTAACGGGTCGAACAACAAAGAAGCCATTAATTCTTTTTCACGTCAGAATGATTTTCGACGAAACACGTTAAGGACATAGGGCATGCAGAGTGCATCTGGTGTTGTCTTCTTGGAACGATAAGTTGACATTTCGCCCCTGCTAAAAAGTGTCTAGCGCGTAGGTTGACTCCGCTGTGCGCCTTGTGTGTTGACGTGTAAAAGTATGTTTTGCCGCCTGTAAATCTGTTTCCATTCCCAAGTTTTCTGTGCCATGGGCTTCGTGTTAACGTATGCTAGAAAGTTAGAGGTAGAGCTGGCGAGGATAGAGGCAGAGAGTCGGGTAACAGTTGAGACTGCGCCAGTCAACGCGGACATAACGGCGAGAAGCGAGGTCGAGAAGTGTTCGAGCGAGCTGTAAACGAAGATGAGAAGGATTAGAGAGCAACCTACCGATGGGATGTGAGGGAACACATGGGTGGTGCAGGCTTCAGCGAGCTGGTGGTAGCGGACGAGGCAGCGTTCCAGATGGTCGGAGGCAGCCAGCGTCGCAAGGGACCACTGAGTTAACTGGAAGAGGAGGTTGCGGGCGGTTGTAGTCCAGGGGAGCACGGGGACGAACGTGTGGGTAATAGCGCAGAGGGCAAGAGGTGATGAACACCGCCGTTGGTCACCTGAAAGAGAAGGAGAGCGAGTTTGAATAAGCCCCTTAGGGTATTTATCGCAAAGGACATGGTCCGGTAAAGAACCGTTGCCGTCGTAATGAGGCCGAAGAGCGCGAGAGCGTGCATCATTAAGTTAAATTGGGTTGGTGTTAATTGGTTATAACTCGTTTCGTGGAGAACGAGAATGAATGGGGGGAAAACAAAAGAATATGAGGTGCATGTAAGAGGTTTAGCAGCCGGGTGCAACGTTTCGATGGGTAGTCCCAAAATCTGCATGAATGTTTTCTTCACCTGTTCACTACTTCGCCGTTCCCCAACTCGAACCAAGGTGAGATCAATCATTGATCATGATCGAGAAATCACAATTCTAGTGGATCTTTCAGGATCTCAACAATCGGTATCTTGTAAGCTGATCTTCCGATTTTTGGTCGGACCACTTGGAGTGTCCCTTTTACTTCGACGATATTCTCATAGCCCAGCATTTCATCCGAATGTTGGACAACTC